ACGTATAAGTACTTGGGCACAAACTTCAACTGCTTCAACATGCTGAGAGAAGAAAACACAATCTAGAATGCAATCTGGAAATAAAGTATACTATGCTCTTCAATATTTGCTAGTCAAAGTCTCTGTCTCGAAATACCAAGATCAAAGTATATAAAACGTTGATAAGACCAGTCGTGTTGTATGGCTCTGAAACATGGAGCACAACTAAAATAGATGAAGCCTTATCACAGGTTTTCGAAAACAGAGTCTTACGACGAATCTTTGGACCCATCAAAGATGCAAACAGCGGTGAATGGAGAGTGAAAAGCCACAACGGAATTCATAATCTGTTAAAATCACCATTGATCACTGGCATCATGAGAGCTAACAGACTGAAATGGTTGACGCATATTGAAAGAATATCAGATGTCAGAGAAGCAAAAACTGTTTACACCAGGGAGATGAATGGTCGTAGACCACGAGGGAGACCAAGAAGACGATGGAGAGATAATATCCAGACAGACCTGCAAACACTTGGTGTTACCAACTGGAAAGAGAAGGCCAACCAGAGAGACGAATGGAGGTGGGTGATATCTGCAGCAATGAACCTCAGGGGATCGGAATGCTCAAGAAGAAGAAGTACAAAAGATGCATAGTCAGCAATGTTGTCATTAAAATATGCAACAATAAATCTACACAATCCATTAATTTCTCCAGCTGCTTCAATTTTGCTAACAATTTTACTACCAAGAGCTGTATATGTTTGCCCCGTATTTATTGTTTATTATGCTCAGATCTGTTCCATTGATATTTAAGCAGTTTCGATCAATCTGAATAAATGCCACACGGATCGTTGAAAATAATCACGTCAAAAGGAGCATAGCGGGTCGTTCAATTGTACCCTCGATGTTGTTAGAATCTGTGTGAGCTCAAAGTTATATCATGTGAAGGCTATAAGAGTTTATACACACACACTGTCAACAGACTTATTATAATTATTATTTTTTCAGGAAGTAAATCGTGAATAAATGTGCATGTAATGACACGAGATCGAAGACATAAATGGAGTATTAGATAGACAGTCGAAGAGTTGAGTTAAAAACAGACACTACAGCACCCGACACGTTTCCATCAGCTCTGAGTCTCCATCCTGTTAACCTGGACTAACAATAATCAAAATGAAGACAAACATTATGGTGCAAGGTGCTGAGTATAGACTTGAAGTCTAAATTAGTGATGAAGAGCTGAAGACAGTTGACCATTTTACCTATCTGGGTCCCATAATGAATAACAAACTATCGATGGATTAGGAAACCAACCTCAGGTTATGTGGGGCAGCAACAGCAATAAACAGATTAAGTAAATCAGTTTATTTACACCAAGAGAAACGGATATACACACCTTTCACATGCGATGTCTACCAATAATACTTGGCAGAAGTGGCAGGACAGGATCACAAACTCTGAGATGTTGGAAAGAGCAGGTATTACAACATGAGGACATGATTCTATAGGGTAAGTCATATCAATTGCTATGTAATTTGTGACTCTTTCCATTTGGATGTTTTTTCTAGATTTTTCCACGCAAATGTAGATGTTTTTAGATATTTTTTAAACTCCGTTTTTGATGTTTTTTTTTTTTTTTTTCAAAGAAAAATGCTGATTCAAGCAAAATAACTCTTACAACTTATTTGTCTTTTGCAATTTGTATATTTAGCACTGTAAAACAGTCATGTTGTTTCTGTGAGTGACCTCCCTGTTATTGGACATTACTGTCTAAGGCTGAAAGAGTAATAACGCTGTGGAGGCCTACATCCATGATCTGGTACTGTAAGTGGTTCTATAAGTCACCCGTTTTCCGAAGTGGGCGATGCCGCTTCTTGGGGTCACTGGAACGATTCTCCAGAAGGTTGTAGTAGACACTGATGCAATTGCAGCCTTTGAACGATGCAAAATAAAAAGGTTGGGGGAGGGGGGTAGGGGTAGGTTTAGGTGGGTGTTGTAGCATCCTACGAATTCAAACAACTTATGGCGGGGATCTCACAATAATTAGTGGCAGGCGCGTGTGCACACACACACACACACACACACACACACACACACACACACACACTCACACACACACCAACACTGAATGGTTGACAGAAACCCTCAATTCTCTGCCTTCTCATTAACATTCCAGTAAAGATTATTTTTGATTGTTTTAAAATTATCCTTTTACTTTGTCAATATCTGCCTGGTTCCTCTCGACGTCACAGTTAATTGGACGACGGTTAGCCTCGCCAGTGAGGGTTCGTGAGCTCAGTATGCTGTATGTTAAAAAGTCTTCAGATTGTTAGTGACACCTTCGATCCGTGTTCGTCTAGATCTTCCTCTGCACTCAGTGTCTTTATTTTCATTTTATTCGCCGTCCTTGCCGGCTATGTTTGTTCATTCACACTAGGTGGCCGATTTAATTTTTTTTTATATGTAGTTTTAAGCTTCAATTTTCTTATAAAAATATTTTTGTTTTTGTTTTTTTATAACAAATTTTGTAGAAAAAAAATGGGAAAAAGAAAATTATTGTTGCCTCATTTTTTAAAAAGTTTTTATGATTGAAAAAGCAAAAGACGATAGAAGGTACATTTTTGGGAAAACCCGGCAGATGTGGGTACAGGACTTTGAAGATGCTTCGGTTATGAAAGCACAAAGGGCTAGGAAATTGGCAACAGTCATAATGACTTTCAAATGAGCCAAGACGAAAGCGACGTTCTGTGAAGAAACTGCTGACTGATGAAGATATTTCTGTTCGATTACAGAAAGTCGGTTTCCAAGTGACGCTTTTTGATGTTATTATGAGCCTGTGGTTTGTCAGTAAGTTTAGGAATATATGTGTTCAAGAAGTAATCATGAAATTCTGCAACAATCTTGTCTGTAACTTTGAAATAAAACTTTATTCTGACATTTTTCAAGTACAGCAGTAGTGCATTCAGCTGATCATAGTTGTATATAGGATTATCTTCTATGATTTATTTCAAGTTTTTTCGCGTGTCATCGGCTATCCGACCACTTTTTATGCAGACGGTGAGAGTCATGGTGACCTACGCTATATCAACACGTGCTCACTCATACGTCACTCTCTCCATTTCTCTCCCCTTCTCTCTCCTTCTTTCTCTCTCTCTTTCTCTCTCTCTTTCTCTCTCTCTTTCTCTCTCTCTCTTTCTCTCTCTCTCTCTTTCTCTCTCTCTCTCTTTCTCTCTCTCTCTTTCTCTCTCTCTCTTTCTCACTCTCTCTCTCTCTCTTTCTTTCTATCTCTCTCTTTCTTTCTCTTTCTCTTTCTTTCTTTCTTTCTTTCTTTCTTTCTTTCTTTCTTTCTTTCTTTCTTTCTTTCTTTCTTTCTTTCTTTCTTTCTTTCTTTCTTTCTTTCTTTCTTTCTTTCTTTCTTTCTTTCTTTCTTTCTTTCTTTCTTTCTTTCTTTCTTTCTTTCTTTCTTTCTTTCTTTCTTTCTTTCTTTCTTTCTTTCTTTCTTTCTTTCTTTTCTTTCTTTCTTTCTTTCTTTCTTTCTTTCTTTCTTTCTTTTTCTTTCTTTCTTTCTTTCTTTCTTTCTTTCTTCTTTCTTTCTTTCTTTCTTTCTTTCTTTCTTTCTTTCTTTCTTTCTTTCTCTCTCTTCTTTTCTTTCTTTCTTTCTTTCTTTCTTTCTTTCTTTCTCTCTCTCTGTCTCTTTATCTCTATCTCTCTATCTCTTTATCTCTATCTATCTATCTATCTATCTATCTATCTATCTATCTATCTATCTATCTATCTATCTATCTATCTATCTATCTATCTATCTATCTATCTATCTATCTATCTATCTATCTATCTATCTATCTATCTATCTATCTATCTATCTATCTATCTATCTATCTATCTATCTATCTATCTATCTATCTATCTATCTATCTATCTATCTATCTATCTATCTATCTATCTATCTATCTATCTATCTATCTATCTATCTATCTATCTATCTATCTATCTATCTATCTATCTATCTATCTATCTATCTATCTATCTATCTATCTATCTATCTATCTATCTATCTATCTATCTATCTATCTATCTATCTATCTATCTATCTATCTATCTATCTATCTATCTATCTATCTATCTATCTATCTATCTATCTATCTATCTATCTATCTATCTATCTATCTATCTATCTATCTATCTATCTATCTATCTATCTATCTATCTATCTATCTCTCTCTCTCTCTCTCTCTCTCTCTCTCTCTCTATCTATCTATCTATCTATCTATCTATCTATCTATCTATCTATCTCTCTCTCTCTCTCTCTCTCTCTCTCTCTCTCTCTCTCTCTCTCTCTCAAATCTTTTACATTGCTTTCTGAAAGACATGAGTTCGTTTCACTGACTGTATTCATCTTCTATTTTTAATCATTTGTTTAAAGATTTATGTTTTTGTTTCTTTCAAATATATTATTATAGTTATTTGCCATTCAGTACATTATTTTTATTCATTTATACATTGAACCACCCCTCCCCCTTTTCCACTCCCAAAATATTTGTAAAAGGGGCTGATGCCCCGCAAATGTGTTTGGTCTCCGCGCCCCTGGGAAGTTATCATGACTCATATGTCTCCCCCATGCCACAACACCATCCTTACACAGAACACCGACAGTGACATTGTCTGCATGAAATCAGTCAACTGTTATCCTACTGTGACATTTTATTTGCCAACAGAGAGCACTATAAACACATAATTAGGCTGATAATTTATATATAAACATATGTACACACATTATTAGACGTACACAGATATAGAAAGCTGCAGGCACATGAGACTTGATTTCTTCACCAGCACTAAAAGACACCTTCTCCTGTTTGAAGTGAATTTACTCAACGGACCAGATCTGTTCATTATATCTTCTGATAATTACTTCTCTACCATTGTCTGCGATTAAATGCCAAGCAACATTAACAGTTTATGAAATGACGTCTGAGATTTTCCACGATTTCATCGTCCCTATAATTGGTGTTGACGTCAATGGTAAAAGCCAATGAGAAACGCCGTCACTGACATGCCGATGGCAGCATTAATGTTTAAAATGGTTTTCCATCGCGGGTTTTCCTTGAGGTAAGCTCTTCGCTGGCTGACTGTGATTTCTGGTGTCTCCTTGCTTTTCCCTTGATCCACAGGAATGCCACACACTTTGTCAAACCAGAGATGGCATTTGCCTTCTACTATCTCTACAGCCTCTTCGGTATCCATTTCACTGTGTGCTGTCGGACCTGAAACAGACAGAGGAGATTTATTACCTACTAAATACGGTCCATCTTTTTCTGGAAATGTAAAACTAGACTCATCCAACATAGGGTAACTTTCACGCATGAGCTTGATTATCTGTGCATATTGAAGAGATTTTATGACGTAGCACCAACCTTGAGTCAGGTAAAAAAAAAAGGGTAAAGTCGGGAGATGTGAACCAGCGTCATTGCACACTGTTATAAACCATGAGTGCTCTGCCACCAGCACGGATAGCTGATAAGAAACTCTCCGCCTGTGTCGCTGTCCGCACGCAACTCCGTAGCTACAGCGACATTCCTCCTTTTACCCCAGAGTGTTAACTCAATCTAAAGGTTGGGTAAACCTAGGGAACCGTCCGGTTTAGATCACCTGCCTTGGGCTGCAGGCAGCCCTTGAAGAGACTTCACGACGTACTACTAAGACAAGTATTACAATACAAACATCGAATCAGATCTGTGTAACCAATGGATTCCTCGAAGGATCTCGCCTTTAGACACTTCCACTTCCCCACTTTCTGTGTATTGCCTGTGGTGGCACAGTAGTCAGCAAGTTTGCTTAAAAACGTGATCTAAGTTGATTTTCCACAAACGGCTGGCTTCATTGTTCCAGGTTATATAAATGTAGTGGTTGCCATCAAATCGATAGCGGATCATGTTAATAATGTTCTAAAAAGAAACAAAACTCCGTGAAGCTGAAGACAGAAATGTATTCAATACTTCACATCCTTTCGACAATAATTGCCATGGGATAGCTTGGCATTATTAGATAATTGACGAAAGGATGCAAAGGAGAGGTGAAGATATCTCAGAAATATTTGACTCTCTCTTGACTCTCTAATGCCGATGAACCTGTCTTGGTAGCGGTATAAAGAACATATTACGTTTTCTTTTGGACAAAGTCACTAGATAGGCCTCGCATTACTGACCAGAGAATCATCACTTGCTTTCATTAGAAAACCGAGTCTATAGTGCTTGACTTTCCTATCAGATATTTGCTCATTCCGATAGCCAACATGTCATCCACATTGTGATTGGATTGTAACAACATGAGAGATTTCTATGGACGAGTTGCTTGCTGGTTACATTATGCAGCTTACCTTTTTTTATTATAGACCATCAATAGGACATATCAGAGAGCCAGCCCCCCCCCCTCTCCCCTCCCAATCCCATGATGAAGCGCACGCTAACTGGTGCTCTAACTAAAAGCTGCGAAGCACCATGGTGGGATCAAGGTGTTCCTGTATTGCCAGCAACACACTGTCTATCGTGTGTTCACTACGAGAACCTCCTTTATAGATCATTAGCCAATTTCCTCTATTCTTCTTCTTTTTCTTCTTCATCTTCTTTTTCTTTTTTCTTCATCTTCGTCATCATCATCATCAACGCCATCATCATCCCAACCAAATGTAAAAAAAAAAAAAAAAAAACTTACAGAGTGAGTTGCCAGGAAATGTCACCATGATTTAGACAACGTCAGCTACCATGATTCAGACAACGTCAACTACCATGATTCAGACAACGTCATCTACCATGATTCAGACAACGTCAGCTACCATGTTTCAGACAACGTCAACTACCATGATTCAGACAACATCAACTACCATGATTCAGACAACGTCAACTACCATGATTCAGACAACGTCATCTACCATGATTCAGACAACGTCAGCTACCATGATTCAGACAACGTCAACTACCATGATTCAGACAACGTCAACTACCATGATTCAGACAACATCAACTACCATGATTCAGACAACGTCAACTACCATGATTCAGACAACGTCAACTACCATGATTCAGACAACGTCAACTACCATGATTCAGACAACGTCATCTACCATGATTCAGACAACGTCAACTACCATGATTCAGACAACGTCAACTACCATGATTCAGACAACGTCAACCAAGAAGCTGCGAACGGTCTTTTAAACATGAGGTTACTACCACCTGTTTATTACGTTTGGAAAAGGGATCTGTACTGAAAGCTACTGTTGTCCTATTTGTTTTCAGTGCATGCGTCCAAGTTTGTAAAAGGAAAACACACTTTCAAGTCTCGTGGCATGGCCGGTGCCGAATTGATTCAAATAGAATACAATTACAATGATCAAAGTATGGCATTAATGGAAACGGATTGTGACAAACACAGATGAAAGAAAGACCGGAAACAGGGCATGCTGCAGGTGGCAGATGTTTACATCGGTAAATGTGGGGCAGACATTTATTAGTGGAGATTTAGAATTATGTGCTTGGTATTTAGGAGAGTTTTTTTTTTTTAACGAGATGATTGATTTATCTGTACTGGGGTTTACTGGCTCAGTGTCTCTCCGCAAAATAAAGTTTGCCCGTCAAGCTTGTTGCACAAAACATAACATTCTGCAGCTCCAGCGACCACCTCTGAGGTTTCAAAGTACATTCACTGGTGAACCGAAGAGCGGAGTCTGAAACCGAACCAACAACATTGAGAACGGGAGGAGAATAACTGCCATGGAGACCTTGTATTTTCTGAATCTGGAAAACAGTCAAAAACAACTGAATGCCAGTGAGAAGACCGCAGACGGGTAGATCATAAAGAGAGCGTTACCTCCGTCACTGACCGCCACCTTGTCCACGTCTTTCTGAACCTTGTCCACCCTTGTCCACCAAGTGACACCCCACAACTGTTGAACAGAGTGATCTATATTTCAGTGGATGAGTGCATTATTGTTATCACGGGTTATGGTTTAGCTGATTGCTACTAATATTATTATTTTTAAAACCTAATTTTTACTGATAATATTCTTTAGCTGATGACTACTGGTAACTTGTAATATTATAGAATACTGTTAATAAAAAGCTCATTAACTCGCAACACAATAGCAAAATATAACTAGTAATTTCACAGCTTACTATTATCAGCAATTCTATAGCATAATATTACTAATAAGATGATAGCTTATTGCATGTAATACTATAGAACCCCCAGGTGGACGTGAGCTAACGTGAGTACACAATAATGCTCTTTAGAGTAACGACAGGTGGTCACATATTGTCCTGGGAAGTAACGGTAGATGGTCATATATTGTCATGGGAAGTAACGGCAGGTGGTCAGATATTGTCCTGGGAAGTAACGGTAGGTGGTCAGATATTGTCATGGGAAGTAACGGTAGGTGGCCAGATATTGTCATGGGAAGTAACGGCAGGTGGTCAGATATTGTCCTGGGAAGTAATGGTAGGTGGCCAGATATTGTCCTAGGAAGTAACGGTAGATGGCCATATATTGTCCTGGGAAGTAACGGCAGGTGGTCAGATATTGTCCTGGGAAGTAACGGCAGGTGGTCAGATATTGTCCTGGGAAGTAACGGCAGGTGGCCAGATATTGTCCTGGGAAGTAACGGTAGGTGGCCAGATATCGTCCTGGGAAGTAATGGTAGGTGGCTAGATATTGTCCTGGGAAGTAACGGCAGGTGTCCAGATATTGTCCTGGGAAGTAACGGCAGGTGGTCAGATATTGTCCTGGAAGTAACGGCAGGTGGTCAGATATTGTCCTAGAAAGTAACGGCAGGTGGTCAGATATTGTCCTAGAAAGTAACGGCAGGTGGTCAGATATTGTCCTGGGAAGTAACGGTAGGTGGCCAGATATTGTCCTGGAAAGTAATGGTAGGTGGTCAGATATTGTCATGGGAAGTAACGGTAGGTGGCCAGATATTGTCATGGGAAGTAACGGCAGGTGGTCAGATATTGTCCTGGGAAGTAATGGTAGGTGGCCAGATATTGTCCTGGGAAGTAACGGTAGATGGCCAGATATTGTCCTGGGAAGTAACGGCAGGTGGTCAGATATTGTCCTGGGAAGTAACGGCAGGTGGTCAGATATTGTCCTGGGAAGTAACGGCAGGTGGCCAGATATTGTCCTGGGAAGTAACGGTAGGTGGCCAGATATCGTCCTGGGAAGTAATGATAGGTGGCTAGATATTGTCATGGGAAGTAACGGCAGGTGTCCAGATATTGTCCTGGGAAGTAACGGCAGGTGGTCAGATATTGTCCTGGAAGTAACGGCAGGTGGTCAGATATTGTCCTAGAAAGTAACGGCAGGTGGTCAGATATTGTCCTAGAAAGTAACGGCAGGTGGTCAGATATTGTCCTGGGAAGTAACGGTAGGTGGCCAGATATTGTCCTGGAAAGTAATGGTAGGTGGTCAGATATTGTCCTGGGAAGTAACGGCAGGTGGCCAGATATTGTCCTGGGAAGTAACGGCAGGTGGCCAGATATTGTCCTGGGAAGTAAGGGCAGGTGCCCAGATATTGTCCTGGGAAGTAACGGCAGGTGGCCAAATATTGTCCTGGGAAGTAACGGCAGGTGGTCAGATATTGTCCTAGAAAGTAACGGCAGGTGGTCAGATATTGTCCTTGGAAGTAACGGCAGGTGGTCAGATATTGTCCTTGGAAGTAACGGCAGGTGGTCAGATATTGTCCTGGGAAGTAACGGCATGTGGCCAGATATTGTCCTGGGAAGTAACAGTAGGTGGCCAGATATTGTCCTAGGAAGTAATGGTAGGTGGCCAGATATTGTCAAGGGAAGTAATGGTAGGTGGCCAGATATTGTCCTGGGAAGTAATGGTAGGTGGCCAGATATTGTCATGAGAAGTAACGGTAGATGGCCAGATATTGTCCTGGTAAGTAACGTTAGGTGGCCAGATATTGTCTTGGGAAGTAACGGTAGATGGCCAGATATTGTCCTGAAAAGTAACGGTAGATGGCTGGATATTGTCCTGGGAAGTAACGGCAGGTGGCCAGATATTGTCCTGGAAGTAACGGCAGGTGGCCAGATATTGTCCTAGAAAGTAACGGCAGGTGGTCAGATATTGTCCTAGAAAGTAACGGCAGGTGGTCAGATATTGTCCTGGGAAGTAACGGTAGGTGGTCAGATATTGTCCTGGGAAGTAACGGCAGGTGGTCAGATATTGTCCTGGGAAGTAACGGCAGGTGGCCAGATATTGTCCTGGGAAGTAACGGCAGGTGGCCAGATATTGTCCTGGGAAGTAACGGCAGGTGGCCAGATATTGTCCTGGGAAGTAACGGCAGGTGGCCAAATATTGTCCTGGGAAGTAACGGCAGGTGGTCAGATATTGTCATAGAAAGTAACGGCAGGTGGTCAGATATTGTCCTTGGAAGTAACGGCAGGTGGTCAGATATTGTTCTAGAAAGTAACGGCAGGTGGTCAGATATTGTCCTGGAAAGTAACGGCAGGTGGTCAGATATTGTCCTGGGAAGTAACGGCAGGTGGTCAGATAGTGTCATTGGAAGTAACGGTAGGTGGCCAGATATTGTCCTGGGAAGTAACGGCAGGTGGCCAGATATTGTCCTGGGAAGTTAAGGCAGGTGGTCAGATATTGTCCTAGAAAGTAACGGCAGGTGGTCAGATATTGTCCTGGAAAGTAACGGCAGGTGGTCAGATATTGTCCTGGGAAGTAACGGCAGGTGGCCAGATATTGTCCTGGGAAGTAATGGTAGGTGGCCAGATATTGTCCTGGGAAGTAACGGCAGGTGGCCAGATATCGTCCTGGGAAGTAATGGTAGGTGGCCAGATATTGTGCTGGGAAGTAACGGCAGGTGGTCAGATATTGTCCTGGGAAGTAACGGCAGGTGGCCAGATATTGTCCTGGGAAGTAACGGCAGGTGGCCAGATAATGTCATGGGAAGTAGCGGCAGGTGGTCAGATATTCTACATATCACTTATCCAGTGTCCACTGGGTCTAGCATCATATGCCTGATGCAGGAGCTAAACGACTGTTTCTGGGTACAAGTTTGCACTTCTTCTCTTCTTCCTCTTCTTGGCGCTCACCGGCTGTCGACTCCGAGTGTGCGTTATGGACCTCCGGACTTGAATCTTATTCCAGAACTTGCGTTTTGCGTGCACATCCGTTTTACAGACCTGGCTTATTTGTAAGCAAATCCCTGGATCCTCGAACCTCAGGCAGATGCACTGCAAAGAAACAGCTCTAAAGATTCGTCTTCGACCACATGCTTATGACACAGTGACTCTGTTTCTGCTCCCCTAAACTGGGGCCACGGAACCCACACGGGGAGACCCCGAAGATTAAATGGTTAGGAGTACATGTCCTGGTGTGGCATGAAGCTCATCAGCCACCACGTGAACAGTCTACATTAGACTGTTCTGTAAAATTATGAGACCCATATCTAGTCTATTTGTCGATGGCATACAGTGGGTGCTACACATTACTGACACAGTTCACATTGAGAAGACACAAACAGTAAACCTGATCCTCATCCTGTCTACGGGTAGCCAGTGAGAACACTACGATAGTTAGAGTAGTCACTGCCAGGCTCAGACTCCCGAAGTAGGTGTAGTGGACGGCGCTGAGGATCCTGGGTCGAGTGTCAGCCTCGTCTGGAAACAACAGATGTGTTAGATTGAAACACGATGTACCGCCAGTTGATCAGATGTCATGTGCCGACTCGCAGTTTGATTAACCTAATTTTTAGATTGGCTTAGAGTTTTTGACACCCGATTCCGGGCCAGCAGAC